GCAATGGCCCAAGGAACTTCTGGCGGAGGTGGCGATGGAGGCCTGGTCATAGACGCACCCAAGTTGGACAAACTACGTCGCATCTTGATGGGATCTGAGACCTTAGCCGTTGATGCCTGTGTTGGTGAGAAGTAGGTTGGGAGGGTAGCGCTCTGCGGCTTCTTAGCTGGACCATTTGGAACCTCCATCAAAGCCTCGAGCTCATCCAAATGGGATGGCGACCACCATGATGGGTCGTAAGCATGAACAGAGTCCAATGACGGCTTTTGCTCGAAGCTGTACGACATTTCTCCGGAGAGGGATCCAATCTTCTGTCCCATTTCGACACCAAGTCGGCCAACATTGTCTGGCTCTTGAGCGTAAGTCTGATCTCCAGCAAGTCCACTAAGATGGCTTAAGATACCAGAGCACAAAGCTCGATCGCTATAGCCGCCTTCTAGCACGCTGATTACTCGACCTTCAACGTGAAGTCCTTCTTCAGCTGCCAATTTGACGACATCCTGGGCAATACGGGCATAAAATTCTGTCGGCACGTTGACCTTGTGACGCTGCATTCCTGCGCTCTCCCATTCACTGGCATCAAAGCCAGCAGAGAAGAATATGGCAGCCTTTGGGGGCAAGTTTGATTCTCTCAATCGCTCTGCCTGGTTCCTGAGGTAGTTTCTAACCTTGTCCAAGAGCACAATATACCTGGTCTCGTAGAGTTTCCAGAATTCTTCCTCGGACTTCCATGGCTCCAGATGGACATTCCAAACTGTCTGCCCGTGTGCATTGTCGATACAGATACTGGCGCTTCTAACCTTTTCTTCATCGCCCATTTCACACGGATACGAGTTGATGTCGTGCAAGCTGAAATAGCCAATCGAAGACTTCTTCCATGCTGCCGCATTCTTGGCAGCGTTGTTTCCTCGAGAGTTGTGCTGCCATGTAATGGCTTGAGAGCCATCACCATGGTGAAGATCAAAGTCAATGATAGCCGCATGCGTGAGCCCATGGTTCAGAGCTGCATGCATGATACCAACGTGGACATTATTGACCCAACAGAAGCCCGAAGGATAGGAGGCGGAACAATGATGACCTGGAGGTCGCACGCCAACAAAGGCCCGCTGAGGTCCGGGACCAAAAACAGTGTCGATGGCTTCGCAAACAGCTCCCAGAGCACCCTCCATGGCGTTCAGAGACTCTGAGCAAAGGTAGAGATCACCTTCGTGGAACTTGTCAGCTTTCTCAGCCCCTCTGTTCATCTGTGGTCTCTGCAGCTCCTTCCCCCCCATTGCAAGCTTCGATTCGGCTGCATCGCACATCATTTTGAGCTCTTCCATCCATTTTGTCCCATGCACATTTACTACAGCTGGTGACAGAAGAGAGAGTCTACGTTCTGTCTTCTGTATCCGGAATGGAATGCCATGAATGTCCTCAGCCTCTCTCTTTGGGTGAAGTGGATATTCACCCTCAGAATGTCTTCCACCCAAGCGGACATACGCTGCAGATATACCCAGCACAGCTGCCTTTATTCGTTCCGGGCGTTCGACGATAGTACTGAGAGCGGCACGAGAAGTTCGGGGTCGTGAGAAGCGATGTCCATAGACAGCATCGTTTAGCACTACGATCATCTGGGTTGGGCGAGTGGATTTCGCGCCATGATGCGCCTGCAGCTCGTCGCTCAGATTATCATGTGCAATGGAAATCGCAGTTGGTCGAGGTTTCTCCAGCACAGGAGGAGTAGACGATAGAGGCGATTTGGCCTGAGTTGGTGATATGTGATGCACCACGCTGGAACGTCTCGAAGGAGTCGAACCTGGCCCGATACCGTTAGAGGAGCGCAACGAGTTCATAGACGCCTTTCGTAGTAGTGTAGGTGTGTCCCGAGACGCTTCACGGCTCCGGGACGGGCTACGGGACAGAGCCCGAGCATTTGGTGCAGACGACTGCGACGTGCGACGACCCGATGGACGGAAGGGAGAGGCTGGCTCAGAGGAGAGGCGGGACGGAGCTCGGCCGGGCGAAGTAGAGATAGAGAGTTGATTCAGGGACTGCGTCAAGTCGTCATGTTCGGGCTGTCTGAGATTCCGTGCAGAAGACTGCCGCCGAACCGACAGCGATGGGCGGTTTGGCGAAGCCATGAGGCTGAAGGCGACGGATGAGGAATATCGATAAGACGAAATGGTATGAAACAAAGAGTAGCGTAGCGGGGTTGATCACGGCAGTGGAGGTAAATAAGTTACGGTATGGGGCAAAGACGAGGTAAAGTCAGAGCCAACTGGCCCCTTTGGTCGCCTTTGGAATAGCTCCAATTGCAGGTCCTCCAAATCTAAGTAAGGCTTGTGCTTGGGCTTGAACCTTTTTGTGATCGAGATGTGGATGTCGGTAGGTGACGTCTTTGCCCCCTTGTTCAGGGACCAGATCGCGTCTGGAGTAACGCGTTGGGGTCACGTGGTTGAAGCTTATGACGCTGTTGTGTTTTGGACATTACCGCATTAGGCGTGCTAGTAAATAACAGCGAGCTCCATACCTCCAATTGGAGGGGTTCACGACGTTTATAAGAAATAGAGCAGATAACTGAGCGAGATTGTGTTTTGTTATAGCGACATTAAGGAGAAACTTCTCGGGTCTTTCAACCCACAGCAAAGTCTATCGTGAGCGGAATACGTACATACAAACTGACCAGATTGAAGAGACAGGCAGGTATCCGTAGTTACGGTAACAGCTCATCAACCCCTGAATATTTGTCGCACAGGAGAGCAGCAAACTTGTCGAATTCCGACTGCTGTGCGCTCTCTGACTATAAGATCCCACTAAGGGTTATATGACATTATCTCGTCTAGAATAATAATACGATCTATATAATATATAGTGATTCACATATTGCAGATGTCAAAGTTTCATACTCCGTAGTAGCAGCGCGTACCCAGGACTTATATCCGTGTGTACCCCCTAGATTGTTGGTTTCTGTTCTGAAGGCATGTGCTTAGACTGTTGGTTCGGAAGCTCTGAGGGATCAGATAAATTAAAGTCAGCGATAAATTACCTACCAGATCTTGATCGAAGCTAATCAACATGCTTGATTACCAGCTGAATGTCCAACAAACAAAGGGCTGACCATTCATCCCTAATATTTGGAGCCAACGGCCTAATGATACGAGATCAAATGGTTGCCAATGACACAATCTCACAGACACCATTAAATGGATAGCACTTTGCCGTTGTGTCGGCCAAGTCTAGAATCACGGCTGTAGAGATCATGTATGTATGCACTCAAGCCCAAGCCCAGACAGAGTGACATGGATGCGTTGACCCAAGCTCAACTGAGTAACCTGGGCGAGCAAGAAACGAAACGTTGAACTCACCGCTAACAAAGACAGCGAGTTTTCTCCAGTCACGGAAATTCATTTCTTCTTCAATCAAGGTCCCTCGTGTCTCGTGGCCCTCGACAACTGGACCCCTCACATTTAAAATGAACCCCAGCCCCAATCGCCCCATGTTGCCGAGACATTTCTGGCCCACTATCGACGGTCCTGTCTCTTTCGCTAGGCTGACTTTGTTTCCGCTTGGTCGGGCGTTTTGAAGGATGCGCTACTACACACGCTGGGATGAAAGCCGCTGTCTGTCTGTTCTCATCCCAACTTGCAGACGTTCAAACGATATGGAGGACTGAGATGCCGACAACTCCGATTAGGCTTCAATAGATTGAATTGAGAGTGAGTGATATGCTGCAAGCAACCACCTCTGCTCTAAAAATGAGCTCCGAGTATCCATACTACCTCCTTGTTAGTGGTCAGCAACAAAATGAGCTTTAAAATAAACTTCCCGTTATGACTAAATGGTTAAATACATACATAAGGTAGGTAGTTAGTGCCTTGCATCACAAACAGGGCTGAGCGATTTACTAGGTCATGTCTATCCATACCAGCTTTCAGGCCGAGGAATTTCTTTGCTGGATCTATGACATAGGCTGGTATGAAAGCTGAAGGAAGCTTTGAATCTGGATCAAGGCTGACCTTGGAATGCTCTCCTCGGATCAAGCCACTGAGTAGTAGTTCGTACTCATCGATATTTGATGCTAATTATGCAGCCATAATCTGCCCACCGGCAGGGGCGTACACCCTTCAGGCTCTACATCCAACAATGTGCTCACAAAAACGCCAAAAGATGCTGTGCGATGCGGGCCCCTTACACTTCTCTGTTTCTGCGAGGAGACACAGCATTAGCAAATTGATACCCTTGATTTTGCCAAGCCTATGGATTCAACACATTGTTTACGTCTGCCCAGACAATACGAGCGGAAAACGGCATCGCAATCTCTCCCAGACTCTCATCGTCCTGACATTCAACGTCCTTGGGTGGACGAGCTGGGGTCCTTTTGCTGGGGCCACCTGAAGCCCTTGCAAAGCCTTGTCGACTTTATCTGGGCTAGCTCAGAGGACATCTCAACCCGAGTGGCTTTTTCCTCCACTCCTCTTTCGTGAATCGTCCCCAGTTGCAGGGCACCCCTGGTCTGCCTCCAGCGTCCGTCCCGTTGCGACTCTGCGTCTAAGAGGCGACGGACGTTGACCACCAAATTTCTGCGTGCAATTCAGAGAGATCCTGCTAATCACATCTCAGCCGCACCATGGCGCCCTTGCTAATTGGTCGTCTTGGCCCCAGAACACCTGGAGACTCTGCCTCGTGGCTGCGTGAAGCCCGGAGCTAGCTCATCACCCTGTCCGCAAGCTTCCTAGCGTCCTGTGTGTCCAGAGTCTGTGTTTGTCAATGGAGCGAGGCGATGAGCCGACCCTGGAAAGGAAAAGGGAAGCTCTGTTCAGCTCAGGTCGGCGTCGTGAATAAATGCCCGACCGTCGGCCCTCCATCCCCGAGGATTGCTTTTTGAAGGAATTGCTGCTTTTCGCTCATATTCATCTGTAGGAGTGACTGTCTTGCCCTGGACCTGACATCGACCCCTAACATTGTGTCAAGACATTCGACTTTCACCAGTTTCATATCTCGATTATCCAATCCTCACAATGAAGGGTGCTGTTCTCTCCGTCCTGGCCAGCGGCGCCGCTGCTCAGATCACATCGATGCCTTTTGCTGCCCTCGGTTTGGGTCCCCATGTCTTCCAGAACAACGCCATCAACCCTACCGACCCCGAATACTCGACCTGCCAGCAAGCTGTAGGAATTGTCCAGGACTGTGTTTCTTCTGTTGGTGGTCTCGACGCTGCTGCGACTGCTGATCCTTCAGCCCTCGTTGCTTGCGCATGCTGTGATGGAAGCAGTAACGCTGCTCCTCTTTACTCTGTCTGCTCCAACTACCTCGAGGATGAGGCTCCTGAGAACACCTCTCAATACGAAGGTGAGTCTTCCTTCTGGTCATGAGAACAAGGAAATGTGCTAACAAGCTGTTTTAGCTTATGGCACTCTGTACAGCGCTTGCAGATTGAACGCCAAATGTACCGGTGGCTCTGGTGGTTCTGGCGGTTCTGGTGGTTCTGCCAGCGGTAGCCGTCCTACAGCAACTTCAGATGATGAAGATCTCTCCACCATTACTTCCGCTACCAGCCCTGCTGAGCAGACATACGCTGCAGCCTGTTTGTACATGCTCGATATCTTCACTTCATGCACAGCTGAGGATCGCCAGTTTACTGAGCTTCCTCCCAGAGAGCAGGCCGAGTGCTACTGGTAAGTTATTCACTTAAACAGCTGAAAATGACACAGACTAACGTTTTACAAGCTGCCGTGGCTCTGGCTCCCGCCGAACCTGGACCGATGAGCTCGACAAGTATGCTTCCACTTGCGCTGACTGGGCCCGAACTGGCGAGCCCAAGACAGCCTACTCTGGTATGTGTCTCTTTGAAACAATCTGAGCTTGGACTAACCCGATAATAGTCGCCAAGAACCTTGCTACTTTCTGCGACCGCTTCGACGACGTTTGCTCCCCCTCTGTTACCCGCACTCAAGACTCTGGGTCCAGCGAGACCGACGAGGCCAACACCACCGAGGACTCCGGCTCTCGCCAGACTGGAGCCTCTGGCGACGATGCCTCCACTAGCGAGCAGAACAATGAACCCGTCACAGTCACAGTTCCTGCTCAGCCTTCCAGCACCGACAGCGGTAACAGTGCTTCTTCCGCCCGTGTCGGCTTCGGCGCTGTCCTCGCTGCCGTTGCTGCTCTGGCTATTGCTCTGTAAGGGCGCTTATGATGATTAAACCGAGAATCGATGAAGCTTATTCTCGAGTTCTCGGTTCCGACAAGACGTGGTGGATCTAACGACTTATCCGGGTTATTTAATGAAGTGCTGTAGGGAAACTCATGAACAATGCGCAGTCTTATCAGGATATCCTTGGCATTTGAAGCGCCTTCGTATATAGAATCATATTCATTATTCATAATTCACTTTTTAACCAACGCCTCTTGATTGCTGTGCATGCTTCTATTCCGTTGTCAAATCGATGTTGACCCCCTTCAATGCTCCAACTGCCCATTCGGGATACTCTGTTTTATCCGCATAAAGCCAAGCGAAGAACTGTCGCACGAATGTAGGGAATCGATCCTCCATAATGGCCTCCCTGATTTGTCGCATAAGGTTCAATTGATAGTAGACATTGTGAATGGTCAGCAGGTGCGCCGCTACCGTCTCTTTTGAGGCGTTGTGGTGGACAAATGCTCGAGTGACACCCATTCCTCCATCAGCGGTTGGCTTGCAGACCATGCAGTTGCAACCCTCCTCGACAGGCCCGAAATCAGTAGCGTATTTCTTGTTACGGATGTTCAAGACGCCATGTTTTGTGACTGCATTGCCAAATCGGGCTGTTCTTGTTGGCCACACACAATCGAACATGTCGGCTCCTAGCGCAACGCTCACCACCAGATCTTCAGGGTAACCAATGCCCATGACGTATCGCGGCTTCAGGTCAGGGAGCAGTTCTGTGCAAGCTGCTACAACTCTGCAATAATCAGCCTTGGCCTCACCACCACTCAGCCCACCAATGGCAATGCCCGGGGTATCGCGAGCCAACATCTCGCGGCAGCATTCTCGTCGCATGTCGAGATCGAGACCTCCCTGAATGATGCAGAAGAGATTCTGGGACTCTGGTTTCTTGTGAGCTGCAATGCATCGATCTAACCACCGCACACTTCGCTCCATGGCCTCGCGCATACGTGCTTTGTCAGGCGAAGTTGTGACAAGGACATCGTCCAGTTGCATCATAATGTCGCTGCCGATGCTGTTTTGCAGTGACATGGAATGCTCAGGTGTGAGTAACATGGGTGTTCCATCATGCGGGCTGAGAAATTCGACACCTTTCTCAGTAATAGTTGCAAGCTTTAACAAACTGACCATTTGGAATCTAGAAGTTAACGTTAGCCTGGGATTTCTCACCCTCGTAGAGGAAAACTTGCCCTCCACTGTCAGTCAGAATGTTGTGGTTCCATCCTTGAAGCTTATGCGCTCCGCCTATCGCATCTAAGACCTCTTGTCCTGGTTTCAAGCCGAGGTGATAGGTGTTGTTTAAACATAAACGGCAACCAGTCTCTTCAAGCTGTTCAGGGGTGATGCCCTTTAGAGACGCTTGAGTTGCAACAGGCATGAACATGGGAAGTTGTACGATGCCATGAGGAAGAGTCAATATTGATGCCCGAGCTCTTGTTGTCTACGTTGAAATATGTGAATTAGTCTTAGACCCCTCGACCCTGGCTTCAACAGCTAAGTGAAGCTATCACCACTGTGAGACTCACGGAGCATTTTGCGACAAGCTCGTGCGTCAAGGCAGGTGACTTGTAAATGTTTGATGACGACGCCATTCTCTTGATAGCTTGCATCTGCTTTAGCCCAGATGTGCCACAATAGAAGAAGAGAAATAATAAAATGCTCCTCTGCTCTTCGTCGTGTTAGTCGCTTGACTGGGTTTTCAATAAAATGGGAAGTTGTATCAATGAGAGACAGGGTTTCAGTGGGGCTCAGCACTGTCAGACGAAGAGCGAAGCGCTGGGCTGATTGGCCAATGATGCACCGTCCGGGCCATTATCGGTAGATCCCGCCCAAGCTTCAACCTCCAGCGAATTTTCGTCGACTTCAGCTATACGTCCAGGTACTGCTCGTCACGAAGATACCAGAAGGGCAAGCCAATTGAGCTCGCCAAACGGTCTCCGAGTCGAAATGAGCTCTCGCGCTGTTTCGCCCGGAGGGGCATTGTTGAGATCTTCTCGATTATTCTCCCTCCCAAAGCCGTTACCTGAGCCTCAGTCGACAAACTTGCACATTGGCGATCACAAGTCTCCCACGATGACACGACAATACCCGCAGCACCAGTCCATTACATCCCCTCTTTCGTCCCGGGAAAAGGGTGACTGGGGTTTTAAGCGACCATTTCCTCTCAAGTCCACCTTAACGAGCTCAACACCCTTGATCCGAGTCAATGAGGTCGATTCTATCGAGAGTGTCACTGATTTCGCCTCTGCTGCCGACCATACTCTTTCTCTTGAGAAGTTCCAGGAAATGCGAATTCCCCTTTCGATCCCCAAAGGAAACGAGAGAAGCGGCATATCTGTGAGGAATGATGCTTGGCGAAAATCCGTATTTGAGGAGGACCTCGATTTTACCGAGTATCGTCAAGGACGAGTTGATGATAAGCGATGGAAGTTTAGAGGACCATGGCTGGCTAGGATGACTGAGGGTGCTTTTATCGGATATCTTAACAAAAAAGTACGACCTAAGCGAGCTGAGTTCAGACAGCTGCTCAAAACGAGACTTGCTGAGTCTCTTAACTCCAAACGAGCCACGGCTGCCATGGAACAGGGCAAGACTGCGCCAGACCGAATCCGGGCTAAAGACATCACTGAGGATCAGTTTACAGACTATGTGCGCTCTCTGCGAAGTGATCGTGCTACACTCTATGGCCTGGTCTCCAAGTTCCTTGACCTTGCTCCTCTTGGCCAGCCTGTTGGCATTATCCAGACCTTCCTCGCCGCTGGAGACAATGCGGCTGCTGAGAGCCCTTACGGAAAGTCTGGACCTCCTCCTAGCCATCCTTCTGCTGGCATTAGTTATCTGAGAACAAACTCCTACATGGAGAACCACCCTGTCTATGGACCTCAGAAACAACGCACTCCCGTGCTCTCTCGAGTAGTTTACCCCAGGCAAGGCCCCTCACCTGCCAAACTTGGTGTTGGCGGTTTCGTGGCCGACTCACCCCCAGGAGACAACGAGTTCAATACCAGAGACTCCCGTCAAAGGGTTTCGCAGAACAAGAAGATGCTCACTGGCATTACACACCTTGACACAACAACCTTTGGTGGTGCCAAGGCATATGTTAGCCCCGAGACTGCAACAGTCGACCCTAGTGGAAAGGTCGTGCTGCAACTCCGAGAGGCTAACACCGAGGCCCAACTTGTTGCTAGAGAAGCTCAGGGCCGTGCTAAAGTGTACAATGCGACAAAGCAAACACTCAAGAAAACGAGTGAAGAAGCTGATCCTTGGCGAGCCGAGCGTGTCGCTAATGAGCTTATTGGTGATGGGACTGCTTCTACTCCCGAAGAGGATGCTGTGAGCAGCTCCAAGAACTACGGCCTTGATAACGACAACAAGCAATAAAGTGCATGGGTTATGGATGAGGGCTGAGGCGATGTATATCAATGTCATTTAAACCTCTCTGATATCTAGAGAAAATATGTACCAAACAACTGTACAAATAGAATTGAAGCAATTACCCAAGTTACATCTGTCGATCTGTCATGAAGACCTGCACATTCAAACATATTATGAAAAAGGATGCAAGCTTGCATAAATGCATAACATTCTGGACCAATAATGTAGCAGATTGATTCTAAGGTCTAGGTATTAGCTAAGCGGGAATGGTTCGCTACACACACACGTGATCTTGTTTAGGGTTAGAAATTCGAGGAAGGAGCGACCCACCCACTCAACACCAAAATTCTAGCTGTAGCGGAAATCTCACACCAGCGACTTTCTTCAAACCTATCGCCCAACGTCCAACAGTCCAATACCGCCAAAATGGGTCGCGTTCGCACCAAGACTGTCAAGAAGTCCGCCAAGGTCATCATTGAGCGTTACTACCCCAAGCTCACCCTGGACTTCGAGACCAACAAGCGTATCTGTGATGAGATCGCTATCATTGCTTCCAAGCGCCTCCGCAACAAGGTTAGAAATACCGGCTCGACGAAAAACAACGAAGGGCAGCAACTGATTCAGGATTTTTAATAGATTGCCGGCTACACTACCCACTTGATGAAGCGAATTCAGCGTGGACCCGTCCGCGGTATCTCCTTCAAGCTTCAGGAGGAGGAGCGTGAGCGCAAGGATCAGTACGTTCCTGAGGTCTCTGCTCTGGACTTCACCCAGAACTCCGAGAGCGGCCAGCTCGACGTCGATGGCGAGACCAAGGATCTCCTCAAGCACCTTGGCGTATGTGCCCTTCCGATGTTGAACAAAATGGACAAGATGTTAACAATCAATGTAGTTCGAGTCTATTCCCGTCAACGTCATCCCCGTCACTCAGCAGCAGGTTCCCGAGCGTGGTGGACGACGATATGGCGACCGCCCTCGCCGCGACTAAAAAATTGGTATTTGGGATTATTATGATGGGTGTCTGGCATTTACAGGGTTTTACTACTTGGCGTCTTAGGACAGTGAGTGCATAGGTCTCAAAGAAAGATCTTTCGACCCCCCAAGGTGTCGCTGATTCTCTGGATGTCTCCAGAGATGACGCTTGATCGCCAATTACTCTCCTCGCTTCTGTGAATATGACCTTGTCCAAGGCCAGTTCGCACGTTTCAGGAACTGAGCCAAGGGACTGTGATGTTGTTGTCTACATCGATGCGACCAGTATCTAGTAGTGTCATGATGGGGTATCTTCCTATCCTTATTATGGCCCTGCTTATGATACAAAAATCGCCCAACGCCTATCCTACGAATAAAGGCTACACACAACTAAAACATGGCTTCATCAATCTTTCTTCTTATCCTCCAAGTTGAGTTTTGTTCTGTAGCCCTCAACGAGTAAATGTTCGTCATCGTAGACTTCTGGTTTGTCAGGCGCAGCGGATGGCGCTTTAGGATCATTCTCCTTCAGTGTGATATTCATCTTCTTGCTCTTGCTTTGCGATGCATCTGGTTCACCCCGCTCAAGAGCAAGGGCGGCCTCATCTCGAGCTGCTTGTCTTTGCTCTTCG